TGTCCGAAGATGTTTCCATGGTTATGTGGCCAGCATGACTAGACGCCGAGGCACACAGAACACTGCTACCTTCCCATCAAAGCGGTACCTATTTATCTACTTGCAATGTCTTGCTTTCGAACTGCTAGGTTGGCAGGAGCTGGGGCCAGGGACGGGAGTTCACTCCGACATGTGGCACTCCGGTCTTGAACTGCCGAACCACTGACCTTCCGGTCTGCAGCTCAGCGTCTTAACCTCTGAGCCACCACAGCTCTGCTTACCGTGGCACCATAAGTCACCTTTCAAAAAGCAAAAAAACTGACATAGTTTTTTGGAGTCCCCAAAGAAGGATCTGTCTCAGACCCCAAACCAACCTGTGCAATCTGCGGGTTTGCACTAACACATTTGGGTTCACCCGAGAAAGCAAGAATTTCTTTGCTGGACAGTTGGAAAACAAACGAAGATGGTTTTTAAATTCTTCCTTCCAAAAGCTAAAAAGTCACAAGCAGCACAGTCCAACAATTGTCTATACAGGCAGCGGGTGTGACTTCTCCCATAGGCACTTCAGAGTTTGGAGAATTACATGATCACATCCAGCACGGAGAAAAGCTGAAGACAAGCCACCTGGTGGACTAAAGGAAGCTGTTAACAATTTGCCAGCAGTAGAAGCACAGCTTTGAAGGTGGCCGACTCGACACAGGCGTGGCCAGGTGCATCCATGGTGGAAGAACCGGCAGATTGGGAAGTTGTAAGAGATATAGCATTCAGGGAACAAACTCCCCCCAATTCTATACACAAGGCAGAGTTTGTGAGCAGACGCACAAAGAGACTGAGTCGCCAACACAGAGTGGTGCAATTGCGTAGTTTTACACTCTGGCCTTAATGGCCTCAGGGTCCCCCTTCCTTTGTCAGCAATGCCAGGTGTTCTGAGAACTACAGTTCCCAGAATGCACTGGAAGGAGGACAAAGTGAAGGAATGAAGATGGAGGACTGCTGGGCGGAGCTTGCCCATCTCTAGCCTGCACCATCTTTTGGAGCCTAGGGCCCAGTCCTAAATTTTTGCACCCTGACCTTTGCAGCATGGCAGCATTCTTGCAGAGGCATGGCGATTTCATGCTCCACCGGAGGGTGTAAATATACACCACCTTTAAAGGGCTATTTAAATGCATTTAATAAAGCCCCGGCTGCAGACAGGCATATTTGTGACCGTTCCCCGAAATAAGGAGCAGATATCCTGCTTTCAGCAGCAGCACGGACCAGTTCATATTCCAAGATTCTACCCATGTCAGCTACAGGCAACGTTGGCGCATCTTTGGTCCCTCTGCTGGAATAATGCTGCTGACCATAGATGGGTGGGAAGGCTGGTGTGGGAGAATCAATATATGAAATATATGAAATAATAGGAGGAGCATGCGCGGTATGGCGTGAGCGACGGGCGGATCCTCGAGATGCTCCCGAGCCGCCCGATCCCTTTTCATCTTTTTTGAGTGCCTCCCGGTGTCGGGGGGGACTTGCCGGCTGTCCTGGAGGGAGAGCCGGTGGCAGGGGGCTTCTTTTCCGCCCCTCCCCGCTCTGGCACGGCGGGGTGTGTGTGTGTGTCCGATATTGCCCCGAATCAGGGAGTGGAGTGGATCATGGTTTCCATGTTTTCCACTTAGCCCTGACCATCCGCCTTTTAACCTATTGTTATTCCAAGACTTACATCAACTGCAGCAACGCAGGAGGAAAAGAGAAGGAAGGCAATTGTGAGTACATATACTTCGGAGTGTGATGCAGAGAGGAAAAAATAAATAAAAATTACCCCAAGTCTGCATAGAACTGAGAAGGATAGCGGCCAGGAGGCATGCGGGAGAGGACTCTACGTCTTTAAGTGTCTTCTTGTTTTTTCGGGGAAAAGACGAGTTATAGTTGGCGTATTTTTCTCTCTCTCTGTTTATTGGAAAGGATTTATAAAGGAGAATGGATGGCTGAGGGCTTGTTGGCTATTTAGAGCGTTGACTTTGGACTTTGAAGGAATTTAAGAGGCTGAATAAAATGGCATTTGCACTGAGGACAGAAGAGGAGATGGATAAAAACATGGAGGTGGGCGAGATGACGATTGAACAGTTTATTAGAGTTCTGAAAGAGGGGATTCAAAAAGGATGCGAGGAAGCATTTGCAAACTTAAGGAAAACATATCACATTCAAGTAGAAACTGAGACAGAGAAACAGCAGGAGCAACCCACTTTAACTGAAACCTTAGTCAATCAGCAAAAGGAGAAAGGTGGTTATTGTGTGGCAGAAAACCCGGGAGTGCTACAGGAAAAAGACTGTGTAGTAATTCAATACCCCTTGACCAAAACAGTGAGAAAGAAGAAGAAAAAAATCATCTGGTGTAAAGTTAGAATTGTTAAAAGAAAATGGACAACGATTGAAAAATGAAAAAGAAAGAAGTAGGAGAGCGAAAAGAAAAAAAGCATGGGCTTGGAAATTTAAAAGAAACAACAAAATGTGGGAACTGGAGTATGTGAGAGTTAGAGGGGGGAAGATTACGAAATCAGTTCATACATAAAGGAAAAAGACATGTAGAAATGTTGTGTAGGAGAACAAAAAGGAAAAAATCACGGGCTTGGAAATTTAAAAGGGATAATGAAATGTGGGAAACAAAGTTTGTGAGAGCTAGAGGGGGGAGACCAGGAAACCAGTACACACATAAAGGAAGAAGGCATGTAGAAATGCTGTGTCAGAAAAATAGATCACAGATGTGTAGGAGGAAAAATAAATTATATAAGGAGGTGGAATGGTCCGTTTTCTTCTGATATAGGCCTAGTTGGGAAAAAATGACCTTAAAAACTTTTTTGCTGTATAATAGTGGTGATTAAGAAAGCGTTATTAGGTGTAATTTAAGTTTAAAGGTGTGGTAATAATGGGGATGCTAAATTGCCGAAAGATCTTTAATAATGTTTATTTATGTTAAAATTTAATGGTTAAGTTGTAATTATTTTTAACAATAATTTAAGAGGATTTTGAGTGATAATTTGAATTTCTAAATTAAGGATTAGTAAAAAGGTCTTAAGAAATTGCTAGGAAAACTAAATATATCTTCCCTTCTTGCTGCAAATTAGTGGTGGATAAGAAAGTGTTAATAAGTGTACTTAAAAGACAAAAGCTGGTAATAATAGGGATGCTTAACTATCTTAAAGGTGTTTAATTCTGTTTAATCAGGTTGGAATACTATAGTTAAATGGCAATTTATTATAATAATAGTCTAATGTGATTTTGAGTGATAATTTGAATCCAAAAATTAAGAGCAATGAAATGATAGATTAGTGAAGCAATTGTTAATAAAAAGGAGAGGTTAGAATTGGGATGAATAATTGGTTGAGTGTTTAGTTGGTGTATTGTGTTATGATGGTGTAATGAAGTTCTAATTATTTTGATAAAACTTAAAAAAAATTAAAAAATAGTAATATTAAACCCTGTACCTATACTAAGAGCAAAGAATGGACTACTACTGGAAGATGATTATAAACAGTGTATATGATTGACGTATATTATCAATATGAGCTGACAGCCAAATCTTGAGAAGGTAGTAAATTTCAAAGGAAATTCAGATGGAAGTAGTTACTCAACACAGAACTGAACTAAAAGTGGAAGATAAGAACATAATAATTATTTCTTGTCTAGTTTTTCTATTAATCTGTGTTGTTGAAATGGAAAATTGTTATCTTAGGGGGTTTTTTGTATGTAGTTGTCGATGTTATTGTTTGTGTGTGTATATGATACAGGTTTATATGTTTAAAAACCCAATAAATATATTGTACCAAAAAAAGTGAAATAATAAATAATAGGCATTTGTTTTATTTTTTTCCCCTCAGTCATCGTAAGCTGTTTGAAAATATGTGCTGAGAAAGGGAGACATAAACCACTTTTGACAAGTCAGTAAAGAAAGAATTCACCCAATCTTCTGCAGATTCAGACAGCAATGAACCCCATGCCTGTTTGCATTCTCCATTTTGCCCGGGGGCTACACAAAGCAACTGTACCAGCTTTACGGATCCTATCCTGCAAGCCTAGAAGCCTGCAGAACATGGAAGCCCAGAAGAAATCTTATCTGTCCCCTTTGGCTGGAGGTTCCTGAACCACACCCCTACTGCAAGCACCCTCATGCTGTCTATGAAAAGGTCACACCATCTGGGTTTGCTAAAGAAGGGGACACGGGGAGAAATCAAGTCAGTCTGGGAAGCCAAACAGCTGCAGGTCACAAGCATGCCACTGTGGATCTGCACTCCCAACCACAGTCGCCGAACTTTGCACGCAAAGTTCGCAAAGGGAGGGATCCGGTTGTTTTGCATCACGCTGGCAGATATGGAGGCGACGGTTTCTTGGAGTCGTGAAATATTTAGCCAGCAGGGATTTCAACCACAATATGCGTATTGGAGAGCCTCGCTCCCACACAAGCAGGGGATGCTATGCCTGCAGGGAAAGCCTTAGGGGCAGAGCACATGCTTGGCATGCAGAAGGTTCCGGGTTCAACCCCTGGCATGTCCAGTTCAACAATAACTGCTGTTGGTCAAGACCAGACAGGCTTGGGCAAGACAGTCCAATGGTCTGACTTGAGACTAAGGCAGCCAATATCATGTTCGCTGTGAGTTTGAATAACACCAAAGGATGCTACATGGATGGTACTCAGCAGACACTGAAGCCAGTGGAAAGAACGTCAGAGGGGAATAACCGTGATGCAGCCACTTTGCACATCCAAAACAGGATCAAAAAGGATGAATAATAATCACCACTGTATTTAAAGGACACCTGAGCAACTCCCCCCCATAGCAAAATGTGGGGTTGTTACTGGAATAGAGTGAGAGAGGCCATGAGGTAAAAGAGACCTCTGCAAGCAGCATTGTTTGACCCAACTGAGGAGAACGTTTCTGGCAGCATATAGGAGGTTATGAGTGTATTTTGTTAAGGCCTGGGATGTTGTCACTGCACCTGACCTTCCCACCTCACCCTTTCTCCATTCCCGGACTCCCTCCCCTCCCCTAAACGTTCTTAGGGTTATAACAAAGCAAATTAAACTCCAGGTTTTCATCCCAGTGCCTGAGCAGGACAAACAACTGCTGTGCCGCTGCTTTCACCGTGAGGAGGCTTCGGCCTTCCGGGAACTCTTGTTCGCTGAGCCACGAACTGGCCTTGGCCGCCACCAGCTCCCACTCGATGAAGTAGGAAGCGGAGCTGTGCTCAAGCCAGGCCAAGGCGACGGCTGTGGCCCAGAGCATTCCCTCCGGTTCTGTCTGCTGCTGGAGTTCGATGTCGAAGAGCCAAGCCTGTAGTTCGGAGCTGTCTGTCTCGGAGCCCCTGCCACTGTCGGCCTGAGACCCCTCAGGTGACAAAGCATTCTCTGGGGAGGAAAAGCGCCGGATGGTGATGGCAGGAGGGGAGAGTTTGTTCTCGGCCTTCAGGGCTTTGGAGAAGCTCTCGGCTGCACTGCCGGAGAAGTGACGGGCCCGGCCCACCTCACTCTCCCCTTGTTTGTCAGCCAAGGGTTTTCCGTTTTCTCCTAGAATGTTGCCACCAGACGGTAGCTGCTGGCCACCTCCAGAGCTCTTGGCTTCCCCCAGCACACCTGACTTTCGGGAGTCGTAGGAACTGGCGGAGGGACTGAGCGCCATCCGGTGGCAGGCAAAAGGAGAAGTCCACTTCAGCTTCTCCATGGGGATGTTGATGGCCTCACAGAATGCCTTGGTCAACAGGAAGGCGCCACAGGCCAGCTGCAGAGACACCTGAGGAGAAGAGGTGACAACATTTCCTTAGAAGGTACCCAATGAGAAGGAATTTAAAACCCACCATTAAACTGTGACTTGCCGCCCTGGGCCGTACGGGTAGGGCGGGATATAAATCCCAAAATAAATAAAATAAATAAACAAAATGGCATGCCTGGATGTTCTATAGGCTTGCTGAGTGTGTGGGCGTTCTTGGGATTTTGAGAAGAAGTTAGTGGCCGCAGCACTAAAAGAGCACTCCCTCACCGATGCTCAAGTTCTGTCAGCAAACTATGCTGGTGATAACAAGGTGGTGCATGCCCTCACAAGCGACTCTTGGGCTCCTCGCTATACCTTCTGGAGGGCTGTAGTCTGTTGTTCCCTCTGAGTTGTGGGGACCCCACAGTGTGAGATACTTACGAGAGGCAGGTAGTCAATGTTTTCATTGTCGCTCTCCAGACTCGATTCGCTGGTCCTGGTGGCAGATTTGCCCATAAAGCCCTTGGCCGCTCGATTCAGCAGTCTTGTTTTGTTAAAGGTCAACCTGGGCCAACCAGACCGAGATGTCACAAAGGAAGGCCGTTCCATGCCACCTCACAGCCCCACCGCCCCTTCCCAAATGGACACACCGTTTTGGTGAGAGAAACTCAGCCAGAGAAAGATGGCAGGTTTTTCCTTCAAGTGGCTGCATTCTGCTGTCACAAACCCTAGTTTAGTTGTGAGGAGTATGACACAGGAAGCCCTTCGGCTCATATGCTTCCTCCTGTCTCCCCTTTGCACAATGCATCAAAATGGTTAACATCCTAGTTTAACCACAATGTCTTGTGAGGTCTAATAATGCTTTATTGCACGCTGAATAAAGTGGACTTTCAATCAACTTTCAATGCACTTCAGTGATCATTTGCAAGTGGATTTCACCGTTTCACACAGTAAAATCCAGTTGTAAAGTGGATTGAGAGTGTATTATTCAGCATGTATGAAAACATCTTCAATCTGGACTGCTTCTACAAACTGCAGTTTCTTTCTTGCCTACAAACCAGGATTTGAAAATCACAGCCTGGTCCTTGTGTAAAAATTCCTGATCTGTAGACAAGATAACAAATTGCTCTTTGTTAAAGTGCCCCAGTTTGGACATCGCAAGGCACCTTCTTTGGGGGGGGGGTGTAACTAACCCTAACCCATAAATCCAATCCTCGCCAAACTTGGAAGGCAGGTAGAGGAGCATCCAGGGGAGGTCTGCTGCAAGTTTTGTGTCTCTAGCTTGCACAGGATCTGTTCTATACACTCCTGAACCTGCACCTGTCAAAATGACCTAGAGACATCAAAGTCACAGGGGACTTCCCCAGGATGCTCCTCTACATACCCTCCACGTTGTTGCTTTGAAGTTATGTAAACATTTTGATTGAGTGGATACAGTCTGTTTGGAAATGTCTCCACTCATGAACCAGCACAAACAACTTGAAAGTTCGTGGAAAATTCGTGCCCAGTGACCTGCCACGAACTTGACTTCACAAAGCACGAACAAGCCAACATTCATCACAAACTTTAATTTGTGAGACGGTTCGTGCCCATCCCTAGATGTGACATCATCTGATGTTTTGGAAACTCTATGGTAATACCAGAGCATCCAGAGCATCAGCTGACATCATGTCAAGGGTTTCACCTGGATGACATTTTCCATTCCTTACTTTTATCCCACTGGCCTGGAGGCCAGGGCATGTGGGAAGAATGCCCACCAGGACCAGGCAAATGACATGTTTGCATCTGGCTCATTGTTGAATGCATGCAGCAGTATGAATGCTGCCCAGGGCACCCTCAGAGGTGATTAGTGACTCCCCCTTCAGTGCAAACCTAAGTCTACTGTTACATCTGAACTGGCAAACTATGGTTTGTGCTTCACATTTTATTTATTTATTTATTTATTGTTTATATTTATATCCCGCCTTTCCAGATATCTGGCTCAAGGCGGCTAACAACATCTGAACCAGGTATTTCAAACTGTGGTTTCAGGCTGATTTACAATCCTGGTTTGGTGAGTGCAAAGTCCCTTGGGTGAAGGCTTTTGCCTCAGCCGGTGTCACCCTGAAATCTGGCCTTATAGGGCGTGTGGGAGGGGTCCATTGTTTCCAACCAGAATCGGTGTGCAATGAATTTTAACTGCTTCCAAACCCTGTTTCGACAAGATATTTAAAAATAACACATCCTTAACCTGGCAGGCATTCACGCAATGTCACTTGAAGATGCTCAGAGAGCTTCTTTTCATTCCTACATTTTGTTCACTTCTATATATATTTATTGAGTGGCTCTTAAAAGGACGCTGTGAGTCTAGCAATTTCTGAGAAGGTACAGTTGAAAGACAGTAATTCATACTTTCATGAATGAGGGATGGATGTTCATTGAACTCTCCTATTCTGGCACCAGCAACCTGAATAGCCCCAGATCAGCTTGGAAGTTAAGCAGAGTTTACAATGATTAGTACTTGAATGGGAGACCACCAGGGAAGTCTGGGGTTGCTTTGCAAAGGAAGGCAATGGCAAACCACCTCTGCTTTTATCTTCCAAGAAAACCACATGAGGGGTTGGCATTAGTCAGTTATGACTTGAAAGCATTTAATTATTATTATATTATTATCCTCCACCACCCGCCCCAATCTACCAGAGAACAGTCCTACCTGGCAGTAAAGAGGCTCTCGATGGATTTCTGGGAGGAAACGGATGGACTGCGCAGCGGAACTGTGTAAAAATAGACGTCCCAGTATTAAAATGAAGAATCAGCAGGCAAGGGCCGCTAGTCAGCTGTGTTCCCCCCCTCCCCTCTCAATCCTCTGGCAGTCCTATAGCTAGAACAAGGAACTGCCTGGGCTTGCCACAGCACCAATTCCCTTGTCTTATTTTTTTTTTAAAGTTTGTATAGTTGGGAATTTCTCGTTGCCAGTATTGGTAGAAAGACAGGCTATGAGAACTCGTAAGAAAAAAAAACTCCCAAGGCAAAGATGCACTCCCATTTGCTTGGAGGAGGCATTAGTAATCACACTGGCAATCCTTAGTTATGGGCTAACTCAGGCAGGGCCTGACCCAGATGGCCCAGGCTAGTCCGATCTCGTCAGATTTCAGCTGCTTAGGGGGGGTCGGCCCTGATTAGCACTTGGATGGGGGACCACCACGGAATTCCAGGGTTGCCACAAAGAGGCAGGCAATGGCAAACCACCTCTGAACGTCTCTCACCTTGAAAACACCATGAGGTTGCCATAAGTACAGTGGGGGGGGGGACAGACCCAACCCAACCCAACTAACCAAACAAACAGGCAGAGCTTCAACATCCCCAAAGAGGTTGCATTAGGGAATCAGCTGGGGATTCTCAAACATTCAGATTTCTCAGGGTATGCCAGCCATAGATGTGAGCCACTGTCATTGACCTGTGGCAGACCAGGAGGATGGAGGAGGGGTGTTCTGGCAGAGAGGACTGTGCCCATCCCTGTCCTGAGTCCCTCTGAGTTCCAGGCTTGGCAACAACCTTTCCTAACTGCTGAATCTTTACCTAATTCTTGTCCCTCCCCACAGGATTCCTCACAAGTCTTTCCTTACCATCTGGGAAAGTGTAGCGTTCCCAGCCAGAGGAAGATGGTGTACTGCATGGAGACAGGCTGCTCTCTTCTGTGTCTGCAGGGGAGGAGAAGAAAAGAAGCAGTGAGCACCGGCTTTCTCCTCCACATCACTGCAACTGCTGGGCCTCCCCAGGTGATAACCAGCAACTGTGGTGTCTGCCGCGCCGCTTTCAGGCTCATGTACAACTGCCCACAGATTTGGCTTCGATGGCAGAGGAGGTAAGAGCAGACCACCTAAGGATGCCATTCCCCAGTTGGGGGTGGGGGATCCCCCAGTTTTTTGGGTTCCTGCCTGCCGCCGGCCAGCTGGCCAGCGGGGGGAAATCCTGCCCCCAAATACAATGTGCTGACATAACCCAAAAACCAGAGCGTTGCCGCATGACGTTGCCAACGTGATGACATCACTTCTGTGTCGCAGCACTCTGCCCCCATTCTCATAAAGTCCCTCCCCCACCAACATGATCATCGGACCTGGCATCCCTAAGACCTTCTCATGGGCCAGGTAGTTGTCTTAGACTTTCATGGACACATGTGTTTCCACAATGGGAACATTTCACCCTGGGGACGTTGCAGGTTGGGAAAAGATGGGTTGGATCCAGGCTAAGTTTTCTATCAGCAGAATGAAACTTTCTTGTCTCCCCTGCTCCCTCTGCAGTTCTCAGATCTCCTGGGATGCTTGTGTAACGCTGAGTCCACTAGAGGGAGTTAAAGAGTTGGGGTATTCCTTATATGGGGAAAAAGGCGCAGTTTTCCCTGAGGGGCCTGAAGCTGCATGGAGAAGCACTCTCACCTCAGATACACTCCTTTCTGTGAAACTATACATTAATATTTTAGGTATGAGAATTTCTTATACTAATTACTGAAAAGGAGGATTGTGTTTATATTAATTGGCTGTTAGTCTGTATTTCGATTGTTGTTGGGACTATTTGAAATGGATGTTATATATAATTTTTCCCTGAGGGACTATAGGGCCAGAAGCTGCAAGGAGAAGCACTCTCGCCTCAAAAGCAGTCCTTTCTATGAAACTATATATTAATATTTCAGGGATACCAGAATTTCCTGTAGAGAACAGAGGAATAGGGATGGGTACGAACCAATTCACGAACCAAAGTTCGTCACGAGCTGGACCCTGTTCGTGGTTTGCAAACTTTCGTTTGTGCAATTGTTTCTCACGTGAACCACCCATGAACTGGTTCGGTTTTCACCGAGGTTTGTGCAGTTCATTGGAGTGGTTCGTGGGCCAGGCATGCTGGCACCCAAGGCAACAGGAACCCTTTAAAGCCTAGTGTGAGTTGCCAGTGAGTTCACAAGGCATCCAGCCCGATTTGCTGTGCCTGCTTGGTACAGCACACTATTTCTGCTATAACAATCCCAATGAAACATCCTGAGTGTTGTAAATCATCATTAGAGGATCAGGTTATTTATCTTCTGAAACGAAATAGCAAGGCTTAATGCCATTAGGTCCCTGAACTGAACATCCCCAGAAAAAAAAGTTAGAAAGTGCTGGTATCTTACTCATACTGTAGAATCCATTGTCTGCTCCATCTTGCCCATAGACTGACTGGGTGCGTCCCAGGCCCACAGAGAACCCTCGGTGTCTCCGGCTCTCGGAACCCAGGCTCCGTTGGCTGCCTGGTTTCAGTGCAGGACCTTAGCACAAAGAGAAAGGAGTTGTTTGTGTTATGGGGTGAGACAGATCGACCAGAGTATTGGGTTTCACTAGAGCTGGTTACCTTGGCTGCTGACTTGCTTTCTGTAGGCTGGTTAGGTTTTGACTAAGTAATATTTAATATATGAACCTGTTTTATCAAGTCAGACATTGATCTACTCTCATGAGTAGTGTCTCTCCAGGTATTAAGGCAGAGATCCTACTACCAGAGCTCCTTTAACAGAAATTGAACCTGGGACCTTCTGCATGCAAATCAGGTTATCCAGTTCTGAGTCATGGCCTAACTGGACCCACATTTTGCAAACTTTAATTGGCTCTTCTTAACATGTCATAACATAGTATAGCCCTTTTTTCCTTATGTTTCAGAATGCTTCTTCCTTGCCAGAGAATATCCGTTTCATTATTATTTTTTTAAATCATGCAACAGCCATTTAAAATTTGGCCTTCGGATGTGATTAATGAAAGTGAATTTTTAGTTGGGGGGGGGGGCGGTGGATTCAAAGAACTTTCATTTGGCCAAGATTGCTGAGGGTTCCACTTCAACTAAAAACCGAGTATGAATTCTGTAAATCAAATATCAAATAGTGAATTTGCAAAACTCAGAATATAATGTCTGGAACTGTTTTCAGATGTAAGTGAAATTCTACTTAATGGTGCAACCAGGGAGACTGATGTGCTTTTACAAACAATTGATAGCGAAATATACTGATGTGGAAAAAGAAAAAGGAAGAAGGGTGAGAGACTTGAACAGGATACCCAGCCCAGTGTTGGCACCTGGGAGGAGCTTTGAGGAGGCAGAGACATGCAAATAGGCATTGTGCCAATGCTGTGGTGTCACTTCCTGCAAGAACCAGGAAGTGACATCAGCATGTTGGTGCAATGCTCTAGGAGTCCTCTGAAATTCTACCATAGTTTGTGAGAGGTCCTGACCTTGGTCCAATGCCTATGCCACCTCCATTTCCCCCTGCTGGGGACCTGAGGAGGCTAAGTGGGAGGTTTCCCACTGGAGTGGGAGCCATGGGAGCCTGAAAACCTGATTGTAGTCTGGGGAAGTATAGTCAGTTCCAGGTTGGAAAATGCCTGGAAATTTGGGGGGTAAAGCCAGTGAGGGCCGGGAGGGACACCAGCTGAACATAATGCCACAGAGTCTCCCCTAGCCCCCCAAATCAACTATTTCCTCCAGGGAAAGTTATCTCTGTCATATGGAGATCAGTTGTAATTCCAGGAGCTCTCCAGGCCTCACCTGGAGGTTGGCAACCCTAGCTGGCACTGAAATTTGCTGGTGTTCCAAAAATTTAAAAGATTTACTCTGGGGATGGAGAAGTAAAGGCCATGAGTCTTTAAGTTGCTGATGCCACCGCACGGGATCCCCCGGGCCCAAAGTGTCGCCCTCTAGGAATGGCATAGGGGGACTGTCATAGGCATACAGTGCTTTGAAAGGGGACATTCCCATAGAGGAATGTGTCGTGTTGTTGTAACAAAACTCCGCCAGTGGCAGCAAGTCCGCCCAATCGTCTTGCTGGTAGTTGGTGAAGCAACGCAAATATTGTTCCAAGGTTTGATTAACACGTTCGGTCTGTAGCTTGAGAAATGAGGGCAGGGTCGACTCTTGGCTTGACAGCAGCACATGTGAAAGGGATCTAGGTGTTCTGGTTGATCACTAAACATGAGCCTGCAGTGCAATGTGGCTGTGAAGAAAGCTAATGCAGTCTTAGGATGCATTAACAGAAACATCGTGTCCAGATCATGGGAGGTGGTAGTTCCGCTCTATTCTGCTATGGTCGGGCCTCACCTGGAGTACTGTGTCCAGTTTTGGGCACCACATTTTAGGAAGGATGTTGACAAGCTTGAGCGTGTCCAGAAGAGGGCAACCAGGATGGTGAGAGGGTTGGAATCCAAGTCTTATAAGGAAAGGCTGTAAGAGTCGGGTATGTTTAGCCTGGGAAAGAGAAGGCTTAGAGGGGACATGATTGCAGTCTTCAAGTATCTGAAGGGCTGTCATGTAGAAGATGGAGCAGAACTATTCTCTCTTGCTCCGGACTAGATCTAATGGGTGGAAATTACAAGGGAGTCATTACCGGCTAAATATCAGGAGAAACGTCTTAACTGTAAGAGTGGTTGAGCAGTGGAACAGTCTGCCTCGGGAGGTGGTGGATGGGCCTTTGCTGGACGTTTTCAAGCGGAGGCTGGACGACCATCTTTCAGGTATGTTGTAGGTATGTAGGGCTATCTTTCGACTATACTCCTGCAGAGTGCAGGGGGTTGGATTAGATGACCTGCAAGGTCCCTTCCAACTCTAACATTCTATGAATCTATGACTCTTATGGTAAGTACTCTGAGAATATAGGAGGCCTATTGCCAGAGGTTCGTCATGTGGAAGATTCTCAAGGATGTGCATAGCCGTCTGATTGCCAGCTGCTTAGAAATACTCCAGGCCTATTCAGCTGCCTTGTTATACACTGGCCTTCAACTGGCAGGATGTCGTGACTAGATATAACTTTCAATACACCCTCTTATGTCACAGAATCATAGAATCAAGGGCCTAGCGCAAACAGAATCCGCCCTCCCTCCACTGTCACCCTTGTGCATTGCTGTGTATGCATTCGTGGTTCACCCTTGGGTCCCCCCATATCCTCTGACCCAGCCCCCATTCCGGGCGAATGAGTATGGAGTACCAGAGTGTCTGAGATGGCGTCTTTCTCAAGTGCCAGCCAAACTCCTTTACCTGCATTGGGGTATTCAACCACAGTCGGCAAGTAGCTGTTATTGCTCAGGTCTACTGGGAGGAAGGCCGTGTATTTGCTGATGACATTGCAAGCTTTGCTGGTATGCAGGGCGTTCAGCTGGTACCGTCGGCCGGACCCTGAAGCAGGGCAAAAAGTTGCAGTTAGGCTGGGAGGCAGGAAATCGTTTTTCAAGAGAGACGCAAGCAGATAGGGAGAGACTACGCTTCCCGCGGCATACACACATATATCTTTTTGTCTCAGTGTCCTCTGGCCAAACGGGTTTTAGAAACTAGGGGGGGGGGGAAATCCTGTTTGACAAGAGCTGCGAGTTGGGGGATGCGTACCCTCAGCAGTGATTCCTCTTTCAAAGTCCATTCAACCCTCTGGGAAAAAACCCTGTCAGCTGTTTTCAGCTTAAGAACGAACAAGAACTGTGAAACTCCACAGCAGTGCCTGAAAGCACAATTTGTTGGCCTCTCTGATTAGCCACTGCATGACCATGGCCTGGGCTGGCGCGATCTCCAATTCGCACATTTCGGGGTAACCTAGGTTACGTCTCCCGCCTGTAGCGTGACCGTCAGATGTCAGCCATGGGTTCTCCTCCATTCCCAGCCATGTGGTGCCTGATTTGGGCTGGGGGACTGCCGGACATGTGGAGAAGGCACTTCAGCCTCCCCCACCCTCACTCACCTGAAATATTCCACTGGGAAATCCGGGGCGGGGGGACCCCAGACCCAATCTGCGTATTTCGTAATGTGTGGATTTGCTTCTTTCAGAGAGCATTTGGGAGTGTTTCAGTGTTGACATTTCACTCAGTCTCAACAGCTCTCTCATTTCGATTGTGATTGCTTTATTGTTGTTTTCACTTTATACCGTATTGAAGTTTTTAAAATATTTTGCTTGCTTTTACCTTGAGATTACATGAAACCCAGCTGGTGCCAGGGGATGGCACTGCCAGGCAACTGCTGCAGCCCTTGAGGGGCCCCTCTGCCCGGTTCCCCACGTGTCAGGCTACCAGAGGTCTGATTATTGTTGTTTTCACTTTATACCGTATTGAAGTTTTTAAAATATTTTGCTTGCTTTTACCTTGAGATTACATGAAACCCAGCTGGTGCCAGGGGATGGCACTGTCAGGCAACTGCTGTGGCCCGGTTCCCCACCTCTCAGGCTACCAGAAGCCTGTCACCACCAGCCTGCAGAACTGCTTTCTACCTGTCCTCTCTCTCCCAGGGTTCTTTACCCTTCTCTTCTCTCCTCTCCTCTCCTCCTCTTCTGGCACATGCCACAGTCCCACTTTACACTGCATTGGTCAGGCCACACCTGGAGTACTGTGTGCAGTTCTGGAGGCCTCACTTCAAAAAGGGCGTGTGGACGAAATGGAGCAGGTGCAGACAAGAGCGGTGAGGATGATCAGGGGACTGGAGACCAAGCTCTGTGAGGAAAGGCTGAGGGACTTGGGAATGTTCCGTCTGGAGAAGAGAAGGTTGAGGGGAGACAGGATTGCTCCCTTTAAGTATCAGAAGGGCCGTCACTTAGAGGAGGGCAGGGAGCTGCTCCTGTTGGCAGCAGAGGAGAGGACTCACAAGCATGGGTTTAAATGAAGGGCGGGAAGGTACCGGCTGGATATTAGGAATTTGTTTTGTACAGTTAGTGTAGTTCAGCAGTGGCCGCCTAGGGAGGTGGAGAACGCATGGCGGTCTTCAAGCGGCGGCTGGACGAACCCTTGTCCGGGATGCTCTCGGCTGATCCTGCACTGAGCAGGGGGTTGGACTGGATGGCCTCTGTGGACCCTTCCAACTCGGTGATTCTGTGTGCAGCACCACTGCGGCTGCCTTGAGGGGAGAGGGTCAGGCAAGCAAATGGCGCGTCTGCCCTGAGTAGCTGTGGGGAGGCAGGCGGGCAGCCCGCCCACCGGCATCTTTCCAAAGACCCCCTGTGAAAACACAGCCTTGATGTAAAAAACAGTAGAAAGGTAAGATAGAAGTATCTTTTTTTAAAAAAACAACAACCCCAAATGTATGAATGGGCCTATATTGATTTTGCAGTAAAATCTTCTGAAGGGTTGAAGGTCTGAGTCTCCCAAGGAAGTCTCCCCCCCCCCCCCCCGCCGCCGCCGTTCTCCCAGCCATACACTGGGGAGCCCCTTCGGCCTCCTAAGCACGATGAGACTTTGGAAAGCAGTCTAGTTTCTCCTGCCAGACACCTGCGTAAATGAGGACAAATCTATCTAATCATTCTAACAAGAGAGCATTACGGCAATTTCCTCTTTCTGGTGACTAATGCTGAAGCGTCAACAGATGCGGAGGGCTCTGATCTCACTTCAGCCCATTAGCAGCCTTGCTCCAGCAGTGGCGAGGACGCCCTCCTGTTCCTTCTGGGCTCAATTCAATGTGCTGGTACTTCCTGTAAACACCCTGCAAAAGCCAAAGCTCCTACGGGGAGCTCCCAACTCAAGTTTTTAAAGAATGCTCCCTAGCCTGAAGCGCACTTTGTACGCATCCCGGTAGCCCTGCAAGATGCACTCTTGGAAGCTGGCCTTCCCCTTCAAAATCCCTTTTCCCCGGAGCCTCACCCGGGCGATATTGGAAACCCCTGCTCTGCCATGGAAGCGCGCTGGGTGACCTTGGGCCAATCGTGCGCTCTCAGCCTAACCTACCACACAGGGTTGTTGTGAGGATAAAACAGAGGAGGGGAGAATGATGGAAGCAGCTCTGTGTCCCCTTTGGGGAGAAATTAAACAAATAAAGAAATAAAAATAGGGATATAAGGGATAGTTGCCTGCAGGGCTTTTTTTGTAGAAAAAGCCCAGCAGGAACTCATTAGCATAATAGGCCACACCCAACACCAGACATTCATTTGCTTATTAGGACACACCCCTGACAGCACAGCTCATTAGCATATTAGGCCACACACCCCATGTTCGCAGAAGTGTGGTCATCCAGACACACTCACCTTTTGCTTCTTATTCTGTTTACCTTGTTTGTTGTCAAAACCAGGGCTTTTTTTGTAGCAGGAACTCCTTTGCACCCCTAATGTAGCCAGTCCTAATGGGTTTCTGATGTTGGGTGTGGCCTGTTATGCTAATGAGTTCCTGCTGGCTGTGGCCAACGTGGGAGCCAGCCGGAACTCCGTTCCTGTGCGTTCCTGCCCAAAAATAGCCCTGGTTGCCTGAGTATATGCTTGCCAAACTGCAGGTGGGGCCTGGAGATCTCCTGGAATTTCAACTGATCTCCAGACAATGGACAACCGTTCCTCTGGAGTACTTTGGAAGGTGGGCTCCATGGCATTATACCCTGCTGAGCCCCTCCCATCCCCAGGCTCCACCCCCCCCAAATCTCCAGGTATTTCCCAGCTGAGAGGTGGCACTGGCAGCCCTACCTGAGTGATATAAGATAAGGGCAGGGCAGAATAACTAGCGAACCATTATTTGCCCTGAACCCTTGAAGAGGGGTGTGTGCCATGTGTGTGTAAAGTGCCATCAAGTCACAGCTGACTTATGGGGACCACCGCTAGGGGCTTTCAAGGCCAGTGCAAAGCAGAGGTGGTTGGCCATCGCCTTCCTCTGCAGAGTCTTCCTTGGTGGCCTCCCATCCAAGGACTGACCCTGCTTAGCTTCCGAGATCTGATGGGATTGGACTATACCACGCTGCCTTCCTTCTGAAGGGTGACCCCAGTGTTTCCTCTAAGGTGAGTTAGTGTGAGCCAGCTCACAGTTTTTTAGCCTACGGCTCACACATTTTTGTCTCAGCTCAGGAAGGACGGCTCCAGAGCAAACTGACTGATGCAGTAGTCAAATCGCTTGCTCACAACTTTAATGCCAGCAGCTCACAAAGTAGGATTTTTGCTCACAAGACTCCACGGCTTAGAGGGAACATTGCCTGTAATGCCAATTAAATAAATTATTTCCATGGTGTTCCTCCTCAATAGGGGAGGGTGTTGCCAAAGGGTTGGATCAGGACTAATTCTACTTCTGGGAGCCTGCCACGTGCCAGTTTCTTTATCTTCACAGGTAGGCACTGTCCTTGGTTCCATTTACAAACGGAACCCCATCTACTACTACTTCCATCTCTATTAAGGCAAAGCATTTGCTAGATCATATGAAAATTTCTGAATCTACATCCCTGAAATTGCCTTCTGTTTTCCCAAATAAATGTGTTTAAGTGTTTCTGGTTTTGCCCTGGGGTTCATTTAGCTTCTTGCCTCGACTGCTAAATGGCTGGTGTTCAGGCTGGGCCAGTTCAAGGTATTTTGATGACGCCATCACAGTACGCCTATTACTGCCTGGGCCTGCATTGCCACGGAATCATAGAGCCACAAAGCTGGAAGGGTCCATGGAAGCCATCTACTCCACCCACCCTGCTCAATGCAGGATCAGCCTAGAGCATCCCTGACAAGTGTTTGCCCAACCGCTGCGTGAAGACTGCCGGGGAGGGGGAGCTCAGAACCTCCCTAGGCAGCCGATTCCACGGTTGCACAACTCTTCTTAGTTTCTCCTAATATCCAGCCCGTACCTTCCCACCCTAAATTTAAACCCATTATTGTGAGTCCTCTCCTCTGCTGCCAACAAGAACAGCTCCCTGCCAGGTACACTGGCCAGCTACAAACAGCATGGGGCCTAGGAGGAGATTCCAATCACCTCCTGTGCGACTGATGTCTAGGAACAAACGGAGCCCCTGTGGTATACTCGCACCCTCCTCGTTGAACCACACTCAAATGGATACTTGGGTAGTTTTGTTTGAGAACCTGTACTAAGTTTAGCTTTGTGTACCAGGAGCTGCGGTGGCTCAAGTGGTTAAGATGCTGAACTGCAGGTTGTGGAAGGTCAGTAGTTCAGCAGTTCAAGACCCGAGTGTGCCGCATGACGGAGTGAGCTCCCATCTCTAGTTCCAGCTCCTGCCAACCTAGCAGTTCGAAAGCAAGAAATTGCAAGTAGATAAATAGGTACCACTTCAGTGGGAAGGTAACAGCGTTACGTGCACCTTGGTGTTTAGTCATGCTGGCCACATGACCACGGAAACGTCTTCGGACAGCGCTAGCTCTTCGGCTTTGAAACGGAGATGAGCACCGCAACCCTAGAGTCGGACTCGACTGGCTTTCGAGCAAGGGAACCTTTACTTTACTTTACCAGACGTTTTCTTCTGATTAGGTGAGCATCCACCATGCAAAACTGACATGACCCCTAGAGTCACCTGGGGACAGCTTGAAACAGGGTTCCCAACGTCGGGTTGAGAAATTCCTGGAGATTCAGGGATGGGTCCTGGGAAGGACAGGTTTCGGGAAGGGGAGGGACCTCAGCAGGATATAATGCCATAGAGTCTACCCTCCGAAGAAGCCATTTCCCCCAAGGAGCTCTTCAGGCCCCACCTGGAGGTTGGCAAACCCAGCTTGAGAGGTTTGGAAGAAACTTCCAGTGTCTCAGCCTCTCCCTTTCCCTGAAAGAATTATCAGCCAAGGCAGACCAAATACCGTGCTCAATTTCACATTCCCTCTCGGCGAGCTGTTCGAAGTCCCGGATGATGGACCGGGCAGCCAAGTGGTGGAAGGTCTCATTCCAGAGGTCCTCCTCCTCGCTTCTTCTGTCTTGGAAAAGTGGCCCAATGTCAAAAGTGATCTCCCACTGGACCGGTTCGTTGCTCTGTAACCCCTTCACCACTGCCTTGCAGAGGGACCTTGGAGAGCGATGCAAACTACTCCTGGCTGAGCTGACATCTGGATCATGCGTCTCCCAGGGCGATGAAGTCTCAGTTTCAAAGGTAAAAGAAGGCTGCTGGACAGAATCTGCAGGGAAATGACAGACGAGTAAATTCTTCCATTTCATTGGAGCAGGAGCTGCTTTAGAACTGGAGGAGGAGGAGGAGGAAGGAGAAGAAGAAGAAGAAGTGGAGATTGGATTTATACCCCACCCTTCACTACCCAAAGTAGTCTCTCTTGGAGTGGCTTACAATCCTTTTCCCTTCCCCTCCCCACAACAGACACCCTATGAGGTAGGTGGGGCTGAGAGAGCTCTTTTAAGGACTGATTCTGAGAGTACAGCTCTGAAAGAACTTGTAACTGGCCCAAGGCCACACCAGCAGCTGCATGTGGAGGAGTGGGAAATCAAACCCAGTTCTCCCAGATTCGAGGAGATGAAGAAGAGGAAGAAGAAGACGAAGGAGGAGGAGGAGGAGGAGAAGAAGAAAAGAAGTGGATAAGGAGGAGATTGGATTTATAACCAAAGGAGTCTCAGACCAACTTACAATCTCCTTTCCCTTCCCCTCCCCACAACAGACACCCTGTGAGGTAGGTGGGGCTGAGAGAGCTCTTTTAAGAACTGCTTTTGACAGAACAGCTCTGAAAGAATCTGTAACTGACCCAAGGTCACACGAGCAGCTGCATGTGAAAGAGTAGGGAATCAAACCCGGTTCGCCCAGATTAGAGTCCGCACTCCTAACCACTGCACCAAACTGGCATTCCCTTTGTGTCTGCATGGAGCATCCATTTGAGAAACAACTGCCTCCGTCATAGGAGAAAGCTTGGTTTGGATCTTCCTAATGTTCTGTGGAACCACCCAAAGCTTTATGATCAATGCCACCCACCTCTGTAGCAGGCATTTTGTGGTAGTGACCTACCTCTACTCATTTTCAAGAATTCTGTAAGTCCCTACAGGTTCAGCAGCATTTGGGGACTCCTGACCTTTTTTTGTTTTGGTTGTGCAAATGAACTCGGGAATGAGGCCACGAGGCCTACCACCATCATTACAAGGAAATCAACCGGGGTGGTTTGCTTACCTAGATCTCCAGGGCTTCGGCTCTCTGAAAAGGATCCTGGGACCGAGCTGGCCTCCAGCTGGCCAGAGCCCTTCCCCGCTGCCGTCTGAGGGGTGCCGATCTGCAGGTGGGGCGAATCCAAGTCCTGGCAAAGCGAGAGACGACTCTGCTGCAGCAGAGACGGACGCCTGGCGCCGACTCCCCGTATTCTTGGCGTGGAGACGTGGGGGCTAACAGTGAAAGACTGAGAAGCCTGACAAGTCAGATCAGAGCCTGTACGTTGAGACGAGAGTACGACTAGGAGAAAAAACGACTTCAGCAGATGTTTCTGAGCTATAGCAATGACAGCTAACCTTTGGTTTGGACATATAACGCCGCCTGCCTCCTCCAACCAGCTCAGTGAATCCAACTGGCCTGTTATGCTAATGAGTCCTCAGGGGATAGGGCTGCCAGCTCTGGGTTGGGAAACACCTGGAGATTTTGGGGGTGGAGCCTTGGGGAGGGTGGGGTTTGGGGAGGGGAGGGCACCTCAGCAGGGTATAATGTTATAGAGTCCCGTCTCCAAAGCAGCCATTTTCTCCAGGGGAATTGATATTGGTCAACCGGAGATTGATTATAACAGTGGGAGAACTCCAGGTGCCACCTGGAGTTTGGCA